AGTGAGCCACATGGGGGGGGGTGCAAGGGCAAGCTGTTCCTCAGTGCAAGCGGCCTTGAAGCGAGCTTCAAGGGAGCGCAGGTGGGTAGCGAGGTCAGCGACAGTCTCAAAGGAGGCGAGGTCAGGGTAGATAAAGGGGACGAGGAGGCGGCTGAGGGAGGCAGAGGAGGGAGTGGAGTAGCGAGCAACAATAGCAGTGTAAAGGTCTGCAGCAGACTCGACCTGAGTGAAGTGGACGGCCTCAGTCGGCGGGAGAAGGTCGGTCAGGGCGAGGCAGGCAGCAGCGTCACGAGACTCCCACACGTCACGAGCGAGGAACCGGCGCTGGTACTCAGCCTCCTGCTCGGAAGTAGGCGGTGGGGTAGTGGGCAGCGGTGTAGGCTGCGGCGGGGCGGGCAGAGCACCGGACGCGTGCGCAAACAGGTGCACGCCATCCTGGCGCTGGCTCCTAAGGTGGCGCTGGGCCTGCGTCAGCCAGGTACTAAAGTCGATCGCGCGCCCCTCAGGGTCGAAACGGAGCACGCGAGACGTCGCCATGAGGGGCGAGAACAAGCGATAGCGGCCGCCAGCCGCGAGAGGAGGAGGAGAGGGAGGTGAGTGCGAGGCGGGTGCGCGCAGTATCTGGGGTGCGTTTTGGCTGGGCGCGGGGCGGCGGGGCGCGCGCTGGCGGGGCGCGCGGGCACGGCGCGCTGGCGGGCGGCTAGGCAGGGCGCGCGCTGGCGGGGCCCGCTGGCGCGGCGCGCTGGCGGGCGCGCTGGCGAGCTCGCTGGCGGGCGCGCTGGCAGGCGAGCTGGCGGGCTCGCTGGTGCGCCCGCTGGCGGGCGCGCTGGCGGGCTGGCGTGCAAGCGGGCTGACGCGCGGGCTGGCTGGCGCACTGGCGCGCTGGCGCGCTGGCTGGCTGGCGGGCTAGCGCGCTGGCTGGCAGGCGCGCTGGCTGGCTGGCGCGCTGGCTGGCTGGCGCGCTGGCTGGCTGGCGCGCTGGCTGGCTGGCGCGCGCGCTGGCGAAGGGCGGGGAGGGGAGGGGCGCGCCGGCTGGGGCGTGGGGTAGGGCGCTGGCGGGCTGGCGGGGCGCAGTGGTAACCCTAGTGGTAGGGACGGGCGGGCCTAGGGCTAGGAGCGCTAACCTACTGCTGATACCATGTCAGAATGAGAACTACAGCGGAATGTGTTGCATTGACAGAATTGGGGTACATAACCTAACCCTAACTAGTTGTACCCCATATAGCCCAACCCACTACAGGCTATAATATTTGACACACAACACAACCCAACCACTTCTTAAAACCAGGGTCTCAAGTAAGAAAAATCGTGATCAACTGCAAAACAATTGAAGCTGAGTCACCCTGCCTTGGGGTTGGTTTGGCAACTTTTTGATGGTACATGAGACTGCCCGGGATGCTCGAACATTTTGCTGGTGTTCTAACTTTGGTGCCGAACCAATTCCCGTGCCTGGATGGTTCGGAGACAAACTGCGACTTGTGTTTCCTTCGCTCCCCTCGTCAAACTGCTCGTCATTCTTTATACCTCGCCAACCAATCATAACCAGGGTGAAGTCATCAATTGCAAAACAGATGATCTACGTGAGACCCTGGTTTTAATGGTACTGCTACGCAACTAACCTTTCAGGCTACTACTAGCTAGAGTTCTAGTTAGCTTGTCACTTCATTGTGACTCTGCTGTGCTGTGCTGTGCTGCCCTTCATTCTACGGTACTACAACAATTGATCCCCCACAAGCTGCATGCTTTTGCTGCCTGGGCGTAAGGAGGCTTGAAGGGAGGAGGCGATGCTGGTGACAGAATGGAATTAGATGGAATGGGATGGGATGGGATGGGATGGGATGGGATGGGATGGGATGGGATGGGATGGGATGGGATGGGATGGGATGGGATGGGATGGGATGGGATGGGATGGGATGGGATGGGATGGGATGGGATGGGATGGGATGGGATGGGATGGGATGGGATGGGATGGGATGGGATGGGATGGGATGGGATGGGATGGGATGGGATGGGATGGGATGGGATGGGATGGGATGGGATGGGAGAGATACGGTAGAATGCAACAGAACAACGACCCTCATACACACACCAGCACCTCCCTCCCCACCCCTCCTCCCTAATCGTCCCTCCTCAATTCTCAGGCACACAGAACAAACTCTCCCTTCCTCCGTGCCAACCTTCTTCCCCCCAGCCCTTCCCGTCCAGGCTCTCCATTTTCACATCCCCATCGCGCGTAGTTCCCCGCTACTGCTTCCCAAGATTGAAAACACCTCGAAACCGGTCCAACCTCGTCTCGTCTCGTGTCATTTCGGCACATGTCATCGTACCTCGCCTCGTCCCCCGTTTCCCGCGTCTCAGGCGTGGCCATAAATCTTCTTCTCTCACTAGCTGTACGGCTGCTGTAGCACCTTATCCACGCCGTGCGCTGTGAAATACTTTCCTACAAACAGACTCGGATTAACCATTTCAGCTCCGTAATACTCGCTCATTTCGAACGTGGGGGAGAGCTTAACACAGTCGCTCGGCGGAACTATCCTCGTTAGAGGCACCCCGCCGAGCGTCGGCCAGGTCCAGTTCGCGGGCGTGAGCAGGAACGGCATCGGCTCACCGCACTCAACCTTGCTGTACGCCCGGCGGCGCGGCATGACGTGCATTTGAAGCACCGCCACGACGTCAGCGTAGGTGACGTTGCTGGTGTTGATCTCCGCGGAGAGAAGCGCGGAGTCGGTGGGGATTAGGAGCGTCGTGTCGAGCAACACGCGGAAGTCGACGGCCGGATCGTTCCCTGTTGCGGGCGAGGAGCGCGGAGGAAGGGGAAGGGAACGGGGTGGGGAGATGGAAGGAGGAAGAGGGGGAGGAGATGGGTAAGGGAGAGCGGAAGTTAAGAGGATGTGGGGAAAGGGAAAGTAGAAAGGGAGGTTAGGAGGGGAGAGTGGAGGAGAGAGGCCGGAGAGTGGACACTGGTGAGAAACAGCTTCAAGTAAGGTCCCTGTCACGGTGTGGATAAGAAATGCAAGGGTAAGCGAGTTTTCTAACTACCAGAAACAAGATGATGATTTATCCGGGGAAAGATTGAAAGGACAAAGCCAATTCTGCCGCCCCTAGCATCAATGCACGACGATGCTGTAGGCTCCGCTCTTTTCGCGTACCACGGTTCGTACTGCGTGTCCTCGAAGTGAAGCGCCTGTACCTTATCATTCCGTACCGTACCGAACTGTACCGTAGCGTGCGATGCCGTCTCGCCGTCACTCACAGATGGCGTGGATGCCGGCGAGGGCCAGCGAGTACTGCGACACGCGTGCGAGCGACTCCTTGAGTCGCAGGACCTCGTCCTGCACCTGCGACGCCGTCGCATTCTCCACCAGCACGCGACGCTGCGCGCCGGCACATGCCGCGACGCGATGACGGGCGGAAAGAAGGACATGAGCGAAAAGCGCTAACGCGAGCAAGAGCAGCTTGGGAAGTCGAGGCTCCATAGCTACTTATGTGATCCGCGAGGCTAGCTAATAGCCACTGAAGGAGGTGATTGACTCCTCTTAGTCTCAATATAAGCACGTTAACAGTCAACTTCGGCGCAAGCTTAACTTGAGACGAGCTCCGTGCGAGTGCGACGGGTGGTGCGCACAGGACGGGTTTCTCTGTTGTGCAGCAGCAGAACGATTGAGGCAGACCACGTTCCACAGTAAAGACTCATGCAGATTCTCCGCTGTGTCAATTTACGCACTGACCCGCAACCACAACCGTAGAAACGTCATAGCACACTGAGAATTGCGTTAGGCTGAAAGGTCTTGGTCATCTCAACCAAAAGTGTATGGCTTATCGACTTCTTTGCTCTGGTTGGGTTGGGTTGGGTTGGGTTGGGCTTGCCCAGCAACAGTTCTCACTCGCCTCTCCTCACCAGGGCTCATTTTTCGTTTCAAGCCACTCTTCCAGAAAAGAGTGAAATCCGTGCGCCCCTCGGCTGGGCCGAGTAAAAAGTTTGTTCACTCTTTCTTGTAGACACTTGTATGTGCAGTCACATCTCGAGGACTTGGCCAACATTTCATGCTCATCCAATCTTCGTCCTGTCAGTCATTGACTTAGCCAAATCTCATGCTCACCCATTCATTCTTCAACTCGCAGACAAGGACTCAGGCATTTTTAAGTCAGAAAGTTCACAGTTTTGGCGAAGTACATAGAAACACAGTAGGGGCAAAACCTGTACTTGTACAGAATGGCCGAGTGGAGATTTCAGCAATGCGGCCACAGCAGCCTAAAAAAAATCGAGCCCTGAATTCGGCCGAGTCACAATCGTGGCAACTCGTATTTTGCCGGGTGGGATGAAAAATCCACCCGGATTTGATTAGTAGTCCGGGTAAATCACCCTGAAAAAATGGGCCCTGCTCCTCACCACCTCCTTTCCGTGCGCCTGCTGCAACAATTCGCGACTCGGTGTTCTTGGTGTGCGACGCGACAGGCTCCCCGAACAGGATTTCAATCGCCACGCCAGGCCAACGGGCGGCCAAAGCGCAAAAGAAACCCACGAATTTGGACGAAACTGTGTTATGGCGCTGGCGCGAAACCTCGACTAGTCAAAATCTGGTTCATACGGTTACCGGGAACTCGCCAAAGTTGCACTTACGAAACTGGAATGCTGGATATTACGGCATGCGAAACACGCTGAATCCCAATTCAGGATCTCCGCTAAACTCGTTAGCCAATCAACTGCGTTTTTTGAAATGATCATCAGCTCCCTAGGCCTTGGACTTTCACTTCCCTGGCACATCAGTCTTCACATCAGACTTCCTTTCAAGGAGCCAGTGGCTAACATAAATCATCATAAATCATCACTTCCAAGACTGTGGCTAACCGCCGCCGACACCTAATTTCCGTCGTATTTTCCACCTTCAGAAAGGATCTGGACACATTGGGATTTTCACGTTTCGTCCGGCATATTCTCTGTTTTGTTGCGTGTCATAGTTTAAGAGGCCGCTAACTACAGAGTTTCCATCCTCATCATCATGTCAACAGAGGATACTATGTAAGCCGTTATCGTAAAATCATCTATGACTTCCTCTTTTGTGATACTACCAGTATGAGATCCATTCGAACAATAAATCAAGACAGATGGCTGCAAGTCATGTACACATGTCGGCCGACGCTGATGTGGTTCAGCAAGCACCTGCTTTTGTTGCATTGCTGTATCTTCAAAAACTTTCGTTCACGCCAGTGAGATCAGTTTGGGCGACGACCCGACTTGGTCTTACTAACCAAATATTGAGTACTCGTCTAAAATGTCATATGATCCCCCCTGTTTTCTGGCGTCGGTTGCTTACCACATCATAGTCAGCCCATAAATTCCCGCATTACTGAAAACAGCTATTTTCTGCTGGATCTTGCAGGCAGACCGATCCACCCTGTCATGTCGTCAAGCTCAAAGAATTATTTGAAAGAGCGGAGTTCAGTGACGTCACTTTTGAAGCCTCTGATGGGAGTAAAGTTCCTGCACATCGCAGCATAATCTCCATGTGGTAATCATCTGAATTATTATGCTTGCACCAGTTCCTCGCCTTTTCCTGAATGATATCTGTCCTCGTTTTCTCCTCCGTAGGTCTCCTGTGCTGAAAGCCATGTTCGACAGTTCATTGGTAGACGGCAACAAGAATTCAGTTGTGAGGATAAGTGACATGGATGGCTCCACGCTAAGGCGGCTCCTTTCCTTTATGTATGGTTTTGATGTCAACCTTTCTCCAGAGTCGGTTAAGGTATGCACATCTAGTTCTCACCATATTGACTTTCATGAGTTCAAGTTTAATTCCCCGCTTGTTCATCATGTTCGCGTTTTGCCACCAGGATGGGCTTGCTGTGCTAGAAGCTGCGCACAAATATGATGTTGCTGAGTTGATGAGCATTATGGACACAAAATTATGCGAGATGGAGGTTGAGGATGAAGCCCTTGTTGAAGTTCTCAAGATTGCTGATCGAGTTGGTGCAGAAAAGACCAAGCTAGCCATTTTTAATCACATAGTGGATGACTTTGATCAAGCACAGAGTCAAAAACTTGTGCAGGTACGTGTTCATGTCTTTACGTAAGCATGGTCGAGAATCTCAGTTATCAAGTGCACAGTTTCTGCAGGATATGATATTAAGCTCTGATCATCATGACCGAGAGCTTGCAGCTGAACTTGTCGGCATTGTATGGCGTACATATGTTATCGAGGAGTAGGGTACTAAATGAAACGGGCTGCAAGCTGCTGCTTTCACCAAGCTGAAACATGCATGTAACGTGATTATATATTTCAAGAAACAGTTGATACTGCAACTAGTGGTAATCAGAGTCATAGGGCGGCAACCACAGATGGGTTCGCACGTCTGTTGCAGATGAATTCATGCAGAGATTGCTCTGCGAGTGGAGATCCTGGTTGTGCACTAGGGCACTACTCAGTGTTACCCATTGTGATGTGTTATGAGTTGTCAAACAGAGTTGCGCGGAATAACGAATAACGAGGCTGTGACTCAATGAATTGACGATACAATGAAAGGCATGCGATTATATAGCGAGACAACCTAGCTAGGCGGGAACCTCGGGAACGCGAGGTTGGGTGCAGGTTGGGCAATGGAAAGCCGAAGGCGACGCGAGGTTGCTTCGGCAGCAAGCAAAGCGGCCGAACGTGCACTTCCGAAAGTTGGGGTTGTACGCGGTTGAGTAAACCCCAGTAAGGAAAAAAGGGTTTTCCTTACACTACCCCCCCCTTAAGAAAGGTGGTCAACATCCACAGCTCGCTTGCGGGCGAGGTAATCACCAAGAAGCGGGGAAGCTTCAAGCGAGGCGGATGGCACCCATGTGTCGTCCTCACTGGTGCGGTCAGTCCAACGGATAAGAAAGTCCACGTGGCGTCCCGAAGCGTCGAGCCGAACACGATGCGCCAAAATCTTGGACGGGTCGAGTGTCGGTTCCGGGACAGGTCGAGCTGTCGGGACGGCGTTCTGGCGCGCGATGTCTGTTGTGGCAGGCACGAACTTGCGTAATAAGCTGACGTGGAAGGCGTCGTGAATACGCCAGTCGTCGGGTAGTAGCAGCTTCGCGGTGACAGGTGTCACCATCTTGAGGATCCTGAAAGGCCCACAGAATCGTGGCCGTAACTTCGATGGGCCGGGCAGGTGCAGGTTCTTCGTGTCCAGTAGTACTAGTTGCCCAGCTGCCAAGACGAGTTCCCGTCGTAAAAGGTCGGTGTATTTGCGGGAAGTGGTATTCGCCTTGCGAATTGCGTCCGCAGCCTTCTCGCGAATTTCTTGGAGTTCTGTCACAAATGTTTGTGACCTCGGGACCGGGTTGTCAAGTGTAGTCGTTGTAGGTACCACCGGGTCCATCCCGTAATTCAAGAAGAACGGGGAGTGATTAGTCGTGCTGGACGGAGCGTTGTTGAACGCGAATTCCAGCATGGCGATGTCAGAATGTGATGGTTGTCTAGCCTGCAGTGGGGTACTCTATAGCGAGTACAGCCCTTCTAGGGTTTGCATATATGTATCCCTATGCTTGTTAGTCAAAACCCTTCTTGCCTGTTTCTCGTTTTGGCCTAGCATTGTGACATGCTATCAGAGCGGGTCGACCCTCCTGGGTCGATCCTGTGGGTGGTCCCACCAGAAGCTTCCGCTGTTGTTTCCTGCTGTTTCCTGCCTGCCGCGCGCTCCGGGCGCGCAGCGAGGGCGCGCGGCGGTTTTCTGCCCCGTCACTCGGCGCGTCGCCCCCGGGAGGCGCTGCGACGGGCGACGGGGACCCGCGCGTCGCCCCCCGTCGCCCGTCGTGGCCTGCGCGCGGCCCGTACAGCCGGCGCGCGGCCCGTACGGGCTGCGCCAGGCCCGCGCGCGGCCCGTACGGGAAGCGCCAGGCCCGCGCGCGGCTCGGGCCGCCTGCGCGCGGTTCGGGCGGCTATGCCAGGCCCGTGGGCGGCCCGTTCCTCGCTGCCCCTGCCCTCCCCACTGTCCCCCGTGCTTCTACTGGCGCCCCACCCCTCCTACAGCCCGTTCTCCTGAATTAGGGTTTGGGGGTGAGGGGTATGGGGGTGAAGCCACTGAGTGCCGTTCCCCTCCTCCTCCTCCTTCTCCGTCTCCCACTGCTGCAGCTGCCGCTGAGGGGGGTGGGTGTGTGGGAGCCGAGGGAGTGGCGCTAGGGGGTGTAGTGTGAGCGGTGCTAGGGGAACAGCAGGGGGTGTGTAAAAAGGGGGTGGGACAGCTGGGGGAAGTTGAGAGGAGGCCGTCGACTTGTCGTCCGCAGCGCCTGAAGTCCAGGGAGCCACGACCCCCTGTGGCCTGAGTAGTCCGGGGCTCTGCGCCCGGTAGCTACAGTGTGTGCACTCCTGGGAGCACAGCGAGCCAGCTGCGACCCCCTGTCGCCGTGTAGTCCGGGTTTAGCCTGGTAGCGTCAGTGCGGCGTACTCCTGCTGCCTGTGTGTCTGCAGCTTCAGCCGTCGCCTCTCATCTTCTTGCTCCCACAGTTTCTCCTCCTCCTCACTTGCCCTCTGTGATAGCCTCTAGCTTTGCTTATAATTGTGAACTATTGCTCTGTCTGCTTGTTATGTTGATTGTACCCCACTTTGACTATGGGGGTGTGTCAGAATGTGATGGTTGTCTAGCCTGCAGTGGGGTACTCTATAGCGAGTACAACCCTTCTAGGGTTTGCATATATGTATCCCTATGCTTGTTAGTCAAAACCCTTCTTGCCTGTTTCTCGTTTTGGCCTAGCATTGTGACAGGCGAGCGAATGTTCCCAGCGAGCGGGGTCGGGGCAGTTTGTCCTGATCAGCTGCTCCATCGTCTGATTGGTCCGCTCGGTCTGGCCGTCGGTTTGCGGGTGGTATGCCGACGAGAACTGTAGCTTCGTTCCGTACTGCGCCCACGTCTCCCTCCAAAATTTTGATGTGAACTTTGGGTCCCGGTCGCTGATGATCGCCGATGGGATGCCGTGTAGTCGCACAACGGTGGAGATGAAGAGGCGTGCAGTTTCTTCGGCGGTGATTGTCGTGCGACAAGGTGCGAAATGCGCCATTTTTGTGAGGCGATCGACGACGACGAGTACAGCGTCGTTGCCGGACGGCCCAGCTGGCAGCCCCGTGACAAAGTCCATCGTCACCTGTTGCCATGGTCGTTCGGGTGGCTCGAGAGGTTGCAGCAACCCAGCTGGCCGCTGACGTGTCGATTTCATGGCTTGGCACACCCTGCATGAGGACACATATCGCTGCACGTCGTTAGCAGAATCAGGCCAATAATACTGACGGTGCAACAACTTCTGGGTTTTATCAACCCCGAAATGTCCGGAGAGGTTGGAATCATGGACCTCCTGAATAAGGAGTTCGCGCAGCAGCCGGTAAGCGGGAACCCAAATCCGCTGGTCAATTCCGGCCTTTAGGTAATAATTCCCTTTCTGCGTCGTCGCCTGCTGGTGATTTCCAGTCGTGAAGAACGGGTCCGTAGTGTAGCCGTGGGTGAATAGTCCCGAAAGAAGCGGGTTCGAATGGGTGATCAGCACAGCAGCGGATTGGACTGTCGGTCGGGTCAGGGCGTCGGCAATATTGTTCGCGCCCTTCTTGTAGGTGATCCTGTAGTGGAAGTGTGACTCCATGTAATCGAGCCACCGGATTTGTCGTGGGTTGAGGTTGGGTTGCGCTCGAAGGTACTGTAGGGATTTATGATCGGTGCGAACAGTGACGTCGGCGCCAGTCAGGTAGCATCTCCACAGTTTAAACGCGTGAATGATGGCGAGCATCTCCTTGTCGTGAATCGGGTAGTTGCGCTCGGCTGCCTGCAACTTGCGTGACTCGTAGGCGATCGGTTGTAAGCCGTTGCCAAAATCCTGGAGCAGCACTGCGCCGATGGCGAAATCTGAAGCGTCGGTGACGACTTCGAACGGCTTGGATGGGTCGGCGATGCGAAGAACCGGAGGGGACACCAGTAACTGCTTCAACTCCTGAAAAGCCGCCTCAGCCTCTTCCCCCCACACGAAATTCCTATCCTTGTGCAGCAGGTCGGTCAGCGGGCCGGTTATCCCCGCCATATTCGGGATAAACCGCCGGACATAATTCACAAACCCCAGAAAACTCTGAAGTTCCGTGACATTAGTCGGGGCCTTCCACTCCTGGATGGTCTTGATTTTCTTCGGGTCGATTTTGATGCCGTCGCGTGAGATGACGTGCCCCAAAAACTCCAACTCTTGCTTAAAGAACTCGCACTTAGAGCCTTTGGTGATGAGCCGGTTCTCCTGTAGCCGCTTAAACACTGCGTCGAGGTCGCGGAGGTGCTGCTCGCGTGTCCTGCTAAAAATCAGAATATCGTCCAAGTAGACGATAACACACTTGTCTAGCAGGTCGCGAAATACCCTGTTCATGGTGCGTTGAAATGTTGATGGCGCGTTCGTGAGGCCGAAAGGCATCACGGTGAACTCGTAACTGCCGTAGCGGGTTCGGAAGGCGGTCTTGTGACAATCGTCAGCGAAGACCCTGATCTGGTGGTAACCGCCGCGTAGGTCAATCTTCGAGAAGTAGCGAGCGCCGCGAAGTTGGTCGAGGAGGTCGTCGGTGCGTGGGATGGGATAGCGAGATTTGATGGTAACCCGGTTGAGCGCGCGATAGTCGATGCACATGCGAATGCCGCCGTCCTTCTTCGGTGTGAACAAGATCGGGGCAGCGAAGGGTGAAGTACTGGGTCGGATGAAGCCCTTCTCCAACAGTGACTCAAGTTGACTTCGAAGCTCCGCAAGTTCGGGCTGAGTCAACCGCCACTGTGTACGAACAGTCGGTTGCGCGCCGGGCTCCAGCTGGATTTTGTGGTCCTCGGGGCGTTCGGGTGGTAGTCCAGGTGGCAGGTCGTCGGGGAAGATGTCGGGGTATTGTCGAATCAGCTCCGCTAAATCAGGTGGTACAGCTGCGCACAGCTTCTCGATGTCGTTTCCGTCGGTGTCGGCTGCCAACTCGCGCAAGCATACGGCGAACAGTTGCGCACCCCTGTTGACGTGGCGTGTAATAGTGATGGCTTTGACGCATGTAGACTCGATGCAGTCCGGAGTCCACGCGGGCAGAGTAATCAGCTTCCCGTCCTTGCTGATGCTGCACGATCCCGTCGTCCAATCGATTATCGGGTTGTGCCGTCGCAGCCAATCGCGCCCCAGGAGCACGTCGCATCCGTCCAACGTCGTCGCGAGAAACTTCATGCTGAAGCCGAAATCGTCGCCGCACTCAATCCGCACCGTCCGTGTTTCTTCCAAAATCGCCAGAGGCGTCCCATCCACGAGGCGGGCGTCAATTTCGGGCAGACACCTGTCCAGCTGCAACTTGCATTTTTTTGCTGTCGCCAGATTGAAGAGGCTATGGCTAGCCCCGCCATCGACGAACATTTTTATTTTTTTCTTAACAACCGTGCCAACAACCAGCACAGGGTGATCCACATGTTCACCCCCGTTAATCTTCCGAGTGCGATCGATTGCATGAATCGGAACCACGACTCGGTGGGGATGGTGGGGTTCGGGCGACAGAGCACAGTCAGTAAGGGGCCCGTCTGTTACTGACTCTTCCCATTTCCCGGCTCCTTCCCGTCGTTCTTCTTTCCCTGCGTCCTGTCGGGGCAGTCTTTATACATGTGGCCCGGCTTCCCGCACTTAAAACACAACCCTGTAAAAGGGCGGTCTGGCGCATGGACTCCGTTAATCGTGGCCCGCTGGGTCTGTCCACGAAATCGGTTTCCCTCCCGAGAACTCGATCTCGCCCACTGCATCAGCGCGTCTGTGCTCTCGGCCAATCGGACGGCTTCGTTGAATGTTGCTGGACGGCTGCGGCGCACCTCGTACTGTATCTCATACTTCAAGCCGCTGATGTATTTATCCAACCGTTCAGCTTCCGCCATGTCGTCCACTTGATCCGCGAGCGCCATAAACGACGCCGTGTGTCAAACTGTATGTGCAGCATATTGTCTAGGCTGTAGTGGGGTAGCCCATATGGGGTACAACCAAATTAGGGTTAACTACTTGTACTCCTGCATCCTGCTAGTTCATTCATTCCTGCTGCTAGATTCTAACATGGTTTCAGAGCACTAAGGTCCGTAGGACCGTTTTTTTCGGGCCCACCTGTTAAGAGAACTAGGCAAGAATGAATGAACTAGCAGAAGTTTTGGGTACAAATATGAAACCCTAGTTGGGGTTGTACCCCATATTGGCTACCCCACTACAGCCTACAAGCATAATACAGTTTAACACACCCCCATAGGCAAAGTGGGGGAGAACAAAGGGTCACAAGACCAGTCCAGCAAAGCAAAGCAAAGCCCAGGGTGGATCACAACGTCACCACACTCCGAGCACAAGTAAAGGCCACAAGGCCAGTTCACATGCAGTGCTAGATATAGTACAAGACAAGCAACACAGTGATCAAAACCTAGCAAGCAAGCAACAAGATATATATAAAGTACAGTACAAAGAATGTCAAGCAGTGAGCAAGTGAGGAAACGTGGACACAAGGCCTAAAGAAGTACAGTGCCGCTGATGATCACTAGGCGGGAGCGCCTTGGTGAAGATATCAGCAGTGTTGGCCTTCGAGTCCACGTACACAAGCCGAAGCTGACCGCGCTGCTGAAGCTCTCGAGCAAGAAAGTAGCGAAGAGCAATGTGCTTCGTCCTGTGCTCCAGTCTGTGCTCCTGACACAAGGCAAGAGCCGCCTTGTTGTCACCGTACAGAACTGGAGGAGAACTAGGCCGCTCTCCCAAGTCAGTCAGCAGGTAGGTGAGCCAGCGTAACTCCTGTGCAGCCATGGCTGTGGCGTAGATCTCAGCCTCACAACTAGAGCCGAGAACAGAGGAAGAGCGGGTGGACCGCCACGAGACAGAACCAGAGCCAAGGCTGAAGGTGTAACCCTGTGACGACCGCTGCGTAGCCAGGTCGTCCACCCAAGAAGCGTCCGAGTGACCAGTGAGGACAACTCTGTCGTGTCCTCCAAGCACCAGCCCCATGCCTGATGTACTGCACAAGTAACGCAGCACCCTCTTAGCAGCCTCCCAGTGCTCTCGCCTGTGTCTCCCAGGTGCAACGTAACGAGCAAGGATGCTAAGAGGGTACGCGAGGTCAGGTCGCGTGCACGTCATCAGGTACATGAGGCAGCCTACAAGCTCTGGGTACGGGCCACTCGGCTCTACGGACTCGTCCGAAGGTGGAGCTGAGAGCGAGTGGCTGGTAGCCAGAGGTGTGGCCTGTGGTGAGGAGAACTGGAAGCCGAAGCGCTGAAGGACCTGCTGCACCATGTGTGACTGAGTCAGGGTGATGGTGCGGCGAGCTCTGTCCCGGGTGATCTGCAAGCCAAGGTAGCTACGCAGTTCACCCAGGTCAGTGCAGGTGTGTCTCTTCTGCAGCTCCGACTTCACACGAGCGAGTGCCTCAGTGTCAGCAGTAGCAAAGACCAAGTCGTCGACGTACACAAGAATGTAGAACGGCGGCAGCGACGTGTCTGTGCGCAGAAACAGCGACGGGTCAGCAGTAGACGGCGCGACTCCAAGAGCCGCAAGTGTAGTCCTCAGTGTGTCGTGCCACTCACGTGGCGCCTGGCGGAGACCGTAGACTGGCCGGCGGAGGCTCCACTGGGTACCAGGAGGAAACGACCCAGTAAAGCCAGGTGGGCGGCGCAGCCAGATCTCCTCGTGCAGGCTGCCCTGCAGGAACGCTGTGCTGAAGTCAAGAGAGTGAAGCTCGTAGTCACGCTGAGCAGCAACGTGCAGCAGAACCCGAAGAGTGGTCATCTTCGGGGTGGGGGAGAAGGTCTGGAAGAAGTCGACCCCCTGACGCTGACTGAAGCCTCTAGCAACGTAACGAGCCTTGAAGACAGGCGGAGAACCTGGCGGCCGCTTCACCCTGAAAATCCACATGCCATCGACGATGTTCGCCCCAGGAGGGGGAACCTCGTCGACGTAGGTGCCTGTGGACTTCCAGGATGCCATCTCTGCGTCCATGGCTGTCTGCCACTGAGAGGAGTAGGGACCCGAGATCGCCTTTGCGTAAGTGCGCGGAGTGGGGATGTCTAGTGCATCCGGGTCTCCCTCAGGGGCAAGCAACCAGGCCACGAGATGAGGTACAGCAGCCGCAAGAGAGTCAAAGTCCTCCTGCCTGTCCTCAAGGACGTCCGTGCCAAGAGCACACTCACCCCCGACGGACGGAGGACAGACAGACGCAGACGCAGACTCAGCAACAAGACTAGCAGCGTAGTCTAGACGACAGGCAGCAGCAAAGTCAACCAACTCAGCGACTAGAGCAGACGCAGCCGAGGACTCAAAGGTAGGGTCAGTGACAACAGTAGCTAGGAGACGCGTGACAGTAGGGTGCTCAGCACGATACCGGTCAGACTCAGGGTCCGGAACGGCAGGCAAAGAGGACGCAGGAGGAGACGGTAGAGGGACACGCCGAGGAGCAGTAGAGGGACGCAGAGTCATGTAGTGAGTGCCTGGGACAGGAGGAGGACGCTCACGACGGACACGACTACCAGCGCGAGCAGGACGAACAGGCGACGCAGGACGAGACTCAGGCTCACGACGCTCTGTAAGACCTCCTGTGGGACCAGTGTAAGGAGAGGGAGCAGGGAGAGGCGAGGCAGGCGGTAACTGTGACTGCGGCTGGACAGGCGGAGGACACTCTACGGAGGGAGGAGGACAAGGAGGAGGAGCCTGCCCAAGAACCTGCTGAAGGAGCGGTACGAAGTACGGTCGCGGCCGCGCAGCGTCTCCAGAAGCAGAAGAGACTCCAGCGGCCGGGTCCTCAGGACCAGCAGGAGCTCCAACGGCCGGGTCCCCAGCACCAGCAGCAGCGCCACCGCTCAGGTCCTCAGCTCCAGCAGCAGCTCCACCAGGCGGGTCCGCAGCACCAGCAGCAGCGCCACCCCCAGAGTCGGCAGCTCCAACTCCGCTAGCACCGCCAGCGCCAGGGTCCCCAGCTCCAGCAGCTCCAGTCGCAGTGCTCCCAGAACAACCAGTCCCGGCAGCTCTAGTACCCCCAGTACGAGCACCCCCAGGACGAGCAGCCCCAGCACCCCCAACTCCAGCCGAGTCACTAGGACGGCGAAAGCGCCGGACGTACCAGTCACGAAGCTGCTGCGGTGTGAGAGACTGCTCAGCACCCCGAACCGGAGCACCCCCAGACACAGTAACCCGAGGCTCCGTAGGCTCAGTAGCAGCACCCCCAGGCGCAGTACCCGCAGCCTCAGTACCCGCAGGCTCAGCACCCCCAGACTCAGTACCCCCAGACTCCGCACACGCAGGCTCAGCACCCCCAGTCGCAGCACCCCCAGGCTCAGCACCCCCAGGCGGCAAACTCTCAGGCACAGTACCCTCAGCTCCAGCACCCGCAGTCCCAGCACTCCCAGGCCCAGCACCCGCAGGCTCAGCACCCCCAGGCTCAGCACTCCCAGCAGTACCACCTGCAGCAGCACCTGAGTCACCTGTGACCTCGACAGGCTCAGCGACGGGAGGAGGGTCTACCTGAGAGACACCTGAAGGAGCAGGACCCTGAGGGGGAAGGGGGTCTACCGGAGGGGGACCAGGAGCAAGGAAAAGCGGCGGGGGAGGGAGGGGGGCAGTGCGGTAGGGGAAGAGACGGTAAAAAGGGACCGACTCGTCAAAGGTGACATCCTGAGAGGCGAAGACCCGGCGCGAGGTGGGGTGGTAAAACTGCCAGCCAGGCGCGTCAGGGACAAAGCCAAGGAAGACACAGGGAAGCGTGCGGGAGGAGAGCTTGTCCGCGGACGTATCGCGGACAAGGGCACGAGCACCCCACACCCGGAAGCGCGACGCATCGCCAACCTCCCCCGTCCAACGCAGTGTGGGCGAGGTCTCCGGCAAGGAGACACGGGGCCAGAGGTTGAGCTGATGCGCGGCGTACCGGACAGCAAACGGCCACAGAAAATGGGGAGCCGCCGCGTGGACCAAGGAGGTACGAGCGACCTCCATGACCAGACCAATGCGGCGCTCAGCAACCCCATTCTGCTGTGGGGAGTCCGGAAGCGTGAAGGTCTGCTCGATGCCCTCCGCCTGACAGAAGGTCCTCAAGAGATCGGAGGAGAACTCACCACCTCTGTCAGAGTGCAGACGCAGGACAGGAAGATCCGTCCGGAAACGGCGGCGGAGCTGGAGACGAACTGTGCGGATCCAAGGGATCAGAACAGCAGGGACCTCACCCTTGGTGCGCAAGGGGAAGACCGTGGTGTAACGCGAGTAGTCGTCGACAACCAGCAAAAAGTACCGCTCACCGCCCTGACCACGAACGCGGGCTGGGCCCCACACGTCCAGGTGGAGGGTCTGCAGAGGAGCCTCTGTCGGGGGGAACGAGGAGGAGTGAGGAGCGGCGCGCTGCCGCCCCTCGACGCAAGGAAGGCAAGGCGGCGCAGGAGAGGCAGGGAGGGGAGGGAGGGACCTGGGAAGACCAGACACAAGGTGGTGACGGTGCATGCCACGAAGGCGTGGCAAGGAGGGGTGACCCAGGCGGTGGTGCCAGAGAAGAGTCTGGTGCGACAGGGAACGACACTCACAGGCGTGGCCTACCAGACCTGACGCAGACACCTGACCGACAGCAGCGACCTGAGGAGACGCAGTGGTCAGTGTGTAGAGACTCGACCCCGGCCGACGGGTAAACGTAGCCAGGTGACGGCCGGTCCTGGAGCACGTGCAGATCGCCACACGCTGTCCTCCAGGGGTAAAGGTGTCAACCCACTGATCCTGGAGGACAGCGTTGCTCACCAGGTTCGTCGAGAACGAGGGGAGGTGGAAACCCGACAACGAGCCAGACGGAGCCGCCGGACAAGGGAGGACAGTGGTGGACTGGGCAAGGACTGGGCCCCCAGAGGGGTCAGCCAAGGAGACTGGGACCGGTGCAGGAAGCGGTGTGAGCTCAGTACTGTCACGAAAGAAGCAACGGGAAGCACCTGAGTCAAGGGTGAAGGTGTGACAGGCCTCAGCCGGTGCGGTACCTGAGAGAGCAGTCTCTGTGGGTGCTGTACCTGAGAGAGCAGACTCGAAAACAGCCGGGACAGCACTGGAGGGAGCAAGTACAGGGGGCACCATACCAGAGAGAGCAGACTCACTAGTACCCAGGGCAGCGGGCTCTATACCTGGGTCAGGCGGCACACACAAGTAACAGTCTCCCTCGGCACTAACAGTCAATGCATACATGGCAGCAATAATAGCATCAAAGTCAAGAGCAAAGACATCAACACCAGCCCTCATGAGCTCAGCCCAGCGGGGGCGCTCAACATCCGCACCCATCTCCTCACGCCAAGCGTCGTCAAGGCGGGAGAAGCAGCGGTACGGGGTGTGGAACCTCCCACACGTCTGTCCCTTGCGGTCACCTGTGCGAATGACATAAGAACAGCGGCCACTGCCCCCCGACGTCCCACGCTGAGCAAGCCACTCACGAAGCTGCTGGGTCGTCTGGGGACGCTGCTGCTGCTGGGAGCTCTGGCCCGAGCCAGTGCCTCCACTCCGACCTCCGCCGCCACCACTACCACCGCTACGACCGCCACCGCCACCACCGCCACCGCCGCCACCGCCACCACCGCCACCGCCGCCACCGCCGCCGCCGCCACTACTGCCACTGCTTCCTCCGCCGCCCCCGCCTCCAGTACCGACCCCACTCCCACCAGCGCTCCCGCCACCGCTCCCTCCAGCACCGCCTCCCCCCCCACCTCCCCCACCTCCTCCCCCCCCAGCGCCACCACCACCACCCTTGCCCCCCTTGCCCTTGCCGGTGCGGCGCCTCCCACCAGGAGTAGAAGCAGCGCCAACAGACTCAGCACCAAGGAAGTCAACAGCAGCAGCAGCAGCGTAGGAGGGAGCGAGGGGAGAGGGAGAACACCCCTCAAAGATGGGGGTGCGAGGAGCGCCACGAGCAGCACCGACAGCTACAATGCTCTTTTCGGCCGCGAGCAGCTGCTCCTCTAGGAGGGTGACTGTGAGCTCAGTGGGACAGCGAGCAAGGAAGTGGTCTCGAACTGAGCTGAGGGTGTCAGGGAGACGGGTGACTATGAAGTGGAGTGTCCAGTACAGTGGAGGGGGGTTCTTAGCGCAGAACTCGGTGGGAAGGGCGGCACGCAGGCGAGCATCACTAGTGCGAAGGTGGGTGATAAGATCGGCGACTGTAGCAAAGGTGGACAGATCGGGGAACAGGTACGGCAGCATGAGGCGGCTAAGCTCGGCTGTGGCAGGCGAGGAGTAGCGAGCAACGACAGCATCGTACAGGGCCTTAGCGGATTTGCAGTCGCCAAAATGCTCGAGCTCAGCTAGCGGCAGGTGACTGCGAATGGCTAGGCGAGCAGCTGCGTCACGGGTCTGCCAGTGGGAACGAACACTAAGCTCGGCTGTGGCAGCAGGAGCAGCGGCAGCACCAGACGCATAGTCATAGAGGGAGATGTGGTCCGTGCTATTGCTCATAAGATACAACTGCAGGTCGTCGAGCCAGGAAGTGAACTGCACGGGACGGCCCTCAGCATCGAAGGAAAGAACGCGAATAGAGGCCATAGCTCAGGCGTGAGGGCACAGCAGAGCAGCGGCAGCAGCAGAGGGGACGCGCTAGAGCGAAGCTAGCAGCCACAGCAGGAGCAAGCGGCGGTGCACAGGCAGGGAAGTGCGGCGGGCGGGCTGCAAGTGAGCGGGCGACGCTGCGAAGCGGGCAGCGGGCGAGCGGGCGACACTGCGAGCGGGCAGCAAGCGGGCGGGCGACGCTGCGAAGCAGGTAGCGGGCGGGCGGGCGGCGCTGCGAGCGGGCAGCGAAGCGGGCGGGCCGCGAAGCGGGCAGCGAGCGGGCGGGCGGGCTGCGAAGCGGGCAGCGGGGCGAGCGGGCTGCGAAGCGGGCGGGCCGCGAAGCGGGCAGCGAGCGGGCGGGCGGGCTGCGAAGCGGGCGGGCCGCGAAGCGGGCAGCGAGCGAGCGGGCTGCGAAGCGGGCGGGCCGCGAAGCGGGCAGCGAGCGGGCGGGCGGGCTGCGAAGCGGGCAGCGGGGCGAGCGGGCTGCGAAGTGGGCGGGCCGCGAAGCGGGCAGCGAGCGGGCGGGCGGGCTGCGAAGCGGGCGGGCCGCGAAGCGGGCAGCGAGCGGGCGGGCGGGCTGTTAAGCGGGCGGGCCGCGAAGCGGGCAGCGAGCGGGCGAGCGGGCTGCGAAGCGGGCAGCGGGGCGAGCGGGCTGCGAAGCGGGCGGGCCGCGAAGCGGGCAGCGAGCGGGCGGGCGGGCTGCGAAGTGGGCGGGCCGCGAAGCGGGCAGCGAGCGAGCGGGCTGCGAAGCGGGCGGGCCGCGAAGCGGGCAGCGAGCGGGCGGGCGGGCTGCGAAGCGGGCGGGCCGCGAAGCGGGCAGCGAGCGGGCGGGCGGGCTGCGAAGCGGGCGGGCCGCGAAGCGGGCAGCGAGCGGGCGGGCGGGCTGCGAAGCGGGCGGGCCGCGAAGCGGGCAGCGAGCGGGCGGGCGGGCTGCGAAGCGGGCGGGCCGCGAAGCGGGCAGCGAGCGGGCGAGCGGGCTGCGAAGCGGGCAGCGGGGCGAGCGGGCTGCGAAGCGGGCGGGCCGCGAAGCGGGCAGCGAGCGGGCGGCTCGGCGGGCGGGCGACACTGCAAGGGGCGCGCGAGGGCGCTAGTGAGGGGCGCGCGAGGGCGCTAGCAAGGGGCGCACGAGGGCGCTAACGAGGGGCGCGCGAGGGCGCTAACGAGGGGCGCGCGAGGGCGCTAACGAGGGCGCACGAGGGCGCTACGAGGCTAGGGCACGGGGTAGCGTGGTAACCGCATGCGAGCGGTGGTGGGCCCTTAAAAAAACGGTCGGTAGGTCCTAGGGACCTCCTGCTCTGAATACCATGTTAAGAGAACTAGGCAAGAATGAATGAACTAGCAGAAGTTTTGGGTACAAATATGAAACCCTAGTTGGGGTTGTACCCCATATTGGCTACCCCACTACAGCCTACAAGCATAATACAGTTTAACACCACCTACCGCTGCGGTTACCGCGCTACCCCACGTACCTGCCTGCCTTGCCTTGCCTTGTGACGTGCTGCACAAGCGCTGCCTCCTGCTGCCCTAGGCCAGCGCGCTGCCCCTAGAGGCCCGTAAGGCCCGCGCGCCGCCTCTACACGCCCGTCAGGCCCGCAAACAGCCCGCTGCTGCCGCGCGCTGCCCGCACCGAGACCGCGCAGCCCGCACCGAGTCGCGCGCAGCCCGCTGCAGCCGCGCGCAGCCCGCACCGAGCCGCGCGCAGCCCGCTGCAGCCGCGCGCAGCCCGCACCGACCCGCGCGCAGCCCGCTGCAGCCGCGCGCAGCCCGCACCGAGCCGCGCGCAGCTCGCAGCTGCCGCGCGCAGCCCGCGCCGAGCCCACGCAGCCCGCGTCGAGCCGCGCGCGGCCTGCTACGGCCTCGCGAGGCCCGCGCGCGGCCCGCAGCAGCCCGCGCCGAGCCGCGCGCGGCCTGCTACTGCCTCGCACGGCCCGCGCGCGGCCCGCAACAGCCCGCGCCGAGCCGCGCGCGGCCCGCTACTACCTAGCGCGGCCGCGCGCGGCCTGCAGCAGCTCCGCGCGCTGTCCGCGCAGCCCGCGCCGAGCCGCGCGCGGCCCTCTGCCTCGGCCCCGACCTGCCGCTGATGCGGCCCCGCCCTGCAGCTGCCACGGCCCCGACCTGCCGCTGATGCGCCCCCCCCCCCCCCCCCCCCCTGCAGCTGCCACGGCCCCGACCTGCCGCTGATGCGGCCCCGCCCTGCAGCTGCCACGGCCCCGACCTGCCGCTGACGCGGCCCCACCCTGCTACTGCCGCTGAGGCGGCCCCGCCCTGCAGCTGCTTCGGCCCTGCTCTGCAGCCGGTGTTGCGGCCCCGACGTCGCCGCTGTCGAGCGCCGGCCCTGCTCGCCCGGTGAGCGCCTGCTCTCCCAGCCTTTGGTGAGCGACTGCCTGCCTGCCTGACGGCCTGCCTGCCTGCCGGCCTGCCTGCCTGCCTGCGCGCCTGCCTGCCTGCCTGCCGGCCTGCCTGCCTGCCTGCCGGCCTGCCTGTCTGTCTGCCTGCCTGCCTGCCTGCCTGCCTGTCTGCTTGCCTGCCTGCCTGCCTGCCTGCCTGGCTGCCTGCCTGCCTGCCGGCCTGCCTGCCTGCCTGCGTTCCTGCCTGCCTGCCTGCCTGCCTGCTTGCCTGCCTGCCTGCCACGCCTGCCCTGCCCGCGCTGCTGCTGCTGCTACTGCTACTGGCAGGTGGTCAGATGCAGCTCCAGCGACGTTCACGCGAGCCTCTCACGCCCCAGCAGCTTAGTGAGTGGTATACTAGCTGGGGTTGTCGCGGTAGCCGTCGTAGCTGTCGCCCTGGGGCTGGTCAGTTGGGAGCGTCTAGCAGTGGCCAGCTGCAGCTGCAGGGGCGTCCACGCGAGACACTTACGCCTCGGCAGCTCCAGGAGTGGTACGCTCAGTGTAGCAGGTCTACACGTACAGTTCGCTGCCCGTACGTCATTCGCACAGGTGCTAGGACTGGTCAGCCTTGTGGGACGCTTGGTCACACACAGTCCCGCTGCTTCGCCCGTCTGAGCGACGACTGGCGCACAGTGTTTGGCGACGAGGCTGAGCTCCCCACCTGGCTGGAGCTGCATGGACAGAGGGTAGATATCTTTGCGCTTGACTATGATGCTATTCTCACTGCCATGTATGCATTGTCTACTAGTGCTGACCGTGCCTGTTGCCTGTGCGTACCGCCTGACCCTGGTGAGGCTGCTGCCCTAGGTGCTAGTGCGTCTCCTGCTCTAGGTGCTGGTGAGGCTGCTGCTCTCGGTGCTAGTACGTCTACTGCTCTAGGTACTGGTGAGGCCGTGGCTTCAGGTGCTGCTGTGTCTGCTCTCTCTGGTACTGCGCCCACTGCGGTCTCACACACCTTCACCCTTGACTCAGGAGCTTCCCGCTCCTTCTTTCGCGACTGCACCGCACTCACGCCGCTCCGTCGGCCAGTCCCGGTCTCCCTGGCGGACCCCTCTGGGGGTCCAGTCCTTGCCCACTATTCCACGGTTCTGCCGTGTCCGGCCGTCCCGTCCGGCTCGCTGTCAGGTCTTTACCTCCCCTCGTTCTCTACGAACTTGGTGAGTGGAGCTGACCTCCAGGATGGGGGGGTTCACCAGTTCACTCCTGCGAGTCAGCGAGTGACTCACTGTACGTGTGCTAGGACGGGCCGGCACTTGGCCACGTTCACCCGTGCACCTGGCTCGAGTCTGTACACACTGACCACTGAGTCCCCTCAGGTAGCTGCGTCTGCGTCTACGTCTGGTCAGCTGGCGGCCCCCTGCGAGTGTCGCGCTTTGTCGCACGACACTCTCCTGTGGCACCACCGCCTTGGTCACCCCTCCTTGCCTCGCCTGCGTAGCATGCACTCTCGCTCCCTGGTCTCTGGTCTCCCCAGGTCTCTGCCTGCCCTCCCTCCCTCGCCTGCGCCGCCCTGCATTCCTTGCGTCGAGGGGCGGCAACGCGCCGCTCCTCACTCCTCCTCGTTTCCTCCCACAGAGGCTCCACTGCAGACGCTCCACCTGGACGTGTGGGGCCCAGCCCGCGTCCAGGGACAGGGCCACGAGCGGTACTTCCTGCTGGTTGTCGACGACTACACGCGTTACACCACGGTCTTCCCCTTGCGGAGCAAGGCGGATGTCCCTGCTGTTTTGATCCCCTGGATCCGCGCAGTTCGTCTCCAGCTCCGCGAGCGGTTCCGGTCGGACTTTCCTGTCCTGCGTCTGCACTCTGACAGAGGTGGTGAGTTCTCCTCCGACCTCTTGGCAGCCTACTGTGCGGAGCACGGCATCACCCAGTCGTTCACGCTTCCGGCCTCTCCGCAGCAGAATGGGGTTGCTGAGCGCCGCATTGGCTTAGTCATGGAGGTCGCTCGTACCTCCATGATCCATGCGGCTGCCCCCCATTTTCTGTGGCCGTTTGCGGTCCGGTACGCCGCGCATCAGCTCAACCTCTGGCCCCGTGTCTCCTTGCCGGAGACCTCGCCCACACTGCTGTGGACGGGGAAGGTTGGCGATGCGTCACGTTTCCGGGTCTGGGGTGCTCGTGCCTTTGTCCGCAATACCACCGCGGACAAGCTCTCCGCCCGCGCTGTTCCCTGTGTCTTCCTTGGCTTTGTCCCTGACGCGCCTGGTTGGCAGTTTTACCACCCCACCTCGCGTCGTGTCTTTGCGTCTCAGGACGTCACGTTCGACGAGTCGGTTCCCTTTTACCGTCTCTTCCCCTACCGCACTGCCTCGCTCCCCCCCCCCGCCGCTCTTCCTCGCTCCAGGTGCTCCCCAGGTAGACCAGCTCCCCGCTCCCGGTCCTGCTCCTTCAGGTGTTTCTCAGGTAGACCCTCCTCCCTTGACTGCGCCGGTTGAGGTCACTGGTGACTCAGGTCCTACTGCGAGTGGTCCTGCTCGGGGTGCTACTTCTGGGGGTGCGGAGCCTGGGGGTGCTGAGTCTGGGGGTACTGAGCCTGAGGGTGCGGAGCTTGAGGGTGTAGAGCCTGGTGGTGCTGAGCCTGAGTGTGAGGGGTCTGGGGGTGCTGAG